TCTGCTCCTGGAACGCGCTCGGTGTGAACAAGGCCTGAAAGTATCCACTGTGCACAAGGGTCTTTGTAAAACTCATGAGCGACTCCAGTAGTGTGCCAGTTATGGTCAGAATTGCTTTGTGTTCAAAATGTAATTATGAGGCATTTGGGAAATCCATTGGCCTCGTACAAGAAAATCATTTCCAAGAGCCTGAAAAAAATAAAAACCAGGCATATTTCAGTACCAGACAGTTTGATTTCATGGCATTGAATTGGCCACATGGCCACTCCCCATAAAGAGGATAACCTTTCAGATGGAGTTACTGATTTGTTGGAAGTTACCTAAGATCCTTTGATGAAGGCCACATGTCCAATGCCTCACAATTGTGAATGTAATTGGCTGCCAAATAGTGCCTGATTCTTGGTTTTCCTTGCAGAAGGCTATTTTCCTGTATGTGCAGCTGGATTGTTTAAATAACTCCAGTTTCAACATAACGACTTCCCTTTGAGTCCTTCTTTAAAGGTTTTGTTTTTTGACGCAGTGCCCTACCTGCAGTTGGATCACCCTTACAACACAAGCAACAGGCATCCATTAACCAAACATTTTTTCCACATTCCGCCATCCTTACCACAATACCACACTTGACAACAGCCAACAATGGGTACATACACACTTTTTTACTAATTGATTTGGGGGATTTGATAGGAGTCAGAATCCTTTGCCATACCCTTGTTATAGCCGTGTTTTGAGCAAAGCCTAAAGGTGGCCACACACATTACGATTATCGGATGACACTTTTCGTCCGATGATCGAACCGCCGTACGATTGTCGTACGGCGGCCCCATTATGCCCCGATTATTGCAAGGTTCACTTAGCCGTAATTAAAGAAAAGCACCTGGGCGAATTGCGCTAATCAACCGCACATATTTTCGTTTGCGCATGAGCAGTGTAGATCGTACGATTTTTGACTTACGGAAACGCCACTAAACTTGCAATAATCATACGATCAGCCAAAGTTTTCAAACATGGTTGAAAGTTTTAAGTCGTGCGATTGTACCTTTTATAAGAAAGTCAGATTTTGGCTGAAAGTGCTTGGATAGCTTTTGGCCTAAAGAGAAGCATTTTTTTCATAGCAGAACTTGAGGTAACCTTCTCAGCAGCTGCATGAACTTTTGAAATATTTAACTCCAGAGAGAAGATCAGCTTTTAATTAAATAGGAAAAAAATCAAGCAAATATTATGTTAAATTATTAAGCAGGCCAATTAGACAGTGTAACTCACTACAACTGGGTATTTTATGATGTCTGTGCGGAGCTGTACCTTTTAAACAATCTAAATGATTATTTGAACTTGTGAAGTTACTATGGTGACAGAATACTTGAGGCACATTTTTTACGATGCTTATCTAATTCCTTTTGTGATCATACTGTGTTTGCAATCTTGAACCTACAGGAAAAATGTGGCCTACTGTTTTATTTATTTATATAGGCACTTGGCAAGTTGGGGGTGTTAAATGAATGCCTCAGTGGTGGAACAATTAGCCATGGAAAGCAATTTAATCATCATGAGGTAAAAAATGAATCTTCTCATGAAAAGATCATTATATGTACAAAAAATAATGGAAGTTTTTTCTGTAACTGTTACTTTACTGAGGAGCAGTTTATTTAGTTCTTTTTTTCTTTGCGGAATGCTTATTCAGCATACAGTCTGTATACTATTTGAATGGCATTTGCATGAAAATGTAAGGTCACCCTTACCCTGAAGCCTCCAACACGTGAATCTAAAATTCTAATTGAACCAATACAAAGATAACATTGGAAGCAAAATATAAAAAATAACTGGCACCCCAGCTTCTGGCGTGCTTGCCTTGGGGAGGGTGACATAATTAGACCTTCTCATGGTGTCCTAGGATGGTGTAGGATCCCAAATTTGGCCGGAATATACTCTTTTTCACAATGCCGGGGAAATCGTCTCACAAGATTTGGGACCCTCAGATTTCCCAGGATCTCCTTTCCATGATCCCATTCCCAGGATCACCAGCATCTACAGAAAGTGGCACAATTTTTTTTCTGTAAGTGTGTCTAGCGTGGAAATTTTAATGTAGAGTCCACTTTACTGTAGAGACATTCTATAGACAGATCCAATCCTTAAAGGAGAACTATGAGGTGAGTGAAAATCACTCATCCTCATAGTTCGAGCCGACGTGTGACAATTAAACTGTCACACGTCGGCTCTATAGATCGGGAAGTGAGCGAACACATACCGTCGCTCGCTCACTTCTCGATCATGTCCCTGCAGAGAGCCGTGACTGTCACTCATGGCTCATTGCAGGGATTCCTCCCCTCTCCGATCCTCCAGTGCTGACTGGCGAAACGGACAGGGAGGGGGCGTGTACAGCTGGCTCTGCCTCTAGATAGGCAGAGCCAGCTGTCAATCATGCAGCTGGGTGGTTTTCGACAGTAATGTTGTGATCCATCCCAGCTGCGGCGGTCTCAGTATACCACAAGCTGTAGCTCACGATATACTGAGCTTTGGGTCACGGGAGGAGGTTAGTATATGTCCTCACGTGACCCTTAGGAGAACTATGGGGAAAAACACTTACCCCATAGTTCTCCTTTAATCTTACAATTGAGGTGTGCCTCTTCCATCCTCTGGAACTTCCTACCCCAACTTGTATGGCTAAAGCACTCAGTGTTTTCTTTTTTCTCGCTCAGCCCCATTGGGCTCCGTTCTCATTCACTTGATTCCTCCATCTACACTAAATGGGGTAGATGGATGAATCCTCCCTGTTGGGCTATCTTATTCTGATAGATGCAGGTGTGCCCCTATCTGAATAACTGAACAGCGACTTATGCTGATTGGCTGCAGTCACTCTTTGGCCAAGAATTTTCAGACCAGCTCCTTGAATATTCAAATTTTGTTAAACAGAGGGGTGGTAACAGGACAACACACTGGTCGAATTTTAGCCGATTCAGCATATTCAAGTAATGTATGGCCTGCTTAACTCCTCCGTCTTTGATGGATTCCTGAAAACGTAGCCCTTCAGGGACCCTTTTCCCACCGCTAAATAACAACTAAACTTTTACTTTCTCAAACAACCCATCCCCACACAATTGCTACCTTTTTTTTATCACTTGCCCCTCCCTTTTAGATTGCAAGCTCTCACGAGCAGGATCCTCTTAACCCTCTTGTCTTCAATTGTAATTGTACTGTCTCCCCTTATATTGTAAAGTGCTGCGCAAACTGTTGGCGCTCTATAAATCCTGTATAACAATCCTAGTGCAATTTTAGATAAAAATTATTTCTGTGGTTAAAAAACCCCAAACCACTTAAAGTGAATCTGTGAGAAAAAATATGATAGCTACTGATTTTTTAGGCTGTTTTTAAAAGAACCATGTCCTGGGACTGCCATATTTATCCTTCCTTTACTACTCCGCAAGTCATTGACCTAGACAAGCATGCAAGTTAAGATTCTTAACAACTGTATACTTCTGCGCCCGTAACTCACTAAGTACCAAAGACAGTATATACGGTGACAACAGCTCCCATATTTTAGCCATAAAGGTTCCTGCTATGGTTTTTTTGGTACTCAGCTTTCATATACCCACACTGCATGGGTTAACTGCTTGTTGTTTTTGTCTAGGTGCTAAAAAAAGTTATACTTACCTGAACCGCCGAGGCGGCTGCCTGCTTCTCTGGTCTCTGAAGCCTGTCTCCTCCTACATTGCAGCATTGGAATGTTCCTTAGCATCCTCTATACACAGTGTATAGAATGTGATGATTTATGGGACCTTGAACCGCTGCAGAGGGGGAGAGAGGCTCCAGGGACCGGTCTAAGAACAAGCTGGCACCTAGGATAAGGTGAGTATAACTTTTTTTGTGTGTAAAATTCTGCTTTAAAATAACACTTCTAGCGCATTCATTTGGGTAGATCCTTTCACTAGATGGCTGTTCGTTAAATCTAAAGAATTTTAAGGTGTGTAGCCAGCGTTAACTGATTTTTGTTTTCTACATTTTTGTTTTTCTTTTCAGCTCGTAATTTTAAAATAATATACTACTTTACCAGCACACTTGGGGTCATATTTTAAGATGGTTGACATTCTAAATGTAAATGTAAATGTTTTTATACTGAAAACAGAGAGAGTCTTTTTCAACCCACCTATACTCCCCACCCCTGCAAAACACCAGGTTTTCTGCAGCTCCTCCAATAGAGCAATAAAGTAGCACTGCAAACATAAGTATAAATACTGATGGACATTAAAGAGACTTTAAATGCAAAAAAAAGCAAAAGAAAAGCAAACTGGTAACAAAATAAACCACCAACTGTTTGCATTGCAAATAGCTGCTAAATCCATTACTGAATTGGCACCCCTGACTTTTAATTGTAAAATGAAAAAGTTTCACTCTAAAACTGACCAAACAGCAGTAAAATTACTTTAAAAAAATAATATTTTTTAAATAGTTAATGGGGTCAAATTGATGATCATTTTTGACCATAGTGATGGAAAAAAATCGAGTGAGTCGGGTGGAAATTTTTTTCTTGTTTGAACAAAATTCTTACAGTGACTATGGTTTTCATTCGGCAAACTACAACACTGAATGGTGAAATCAAACGAAACTTCAAATATAATGCGTCAAATCTCTGATTGCTATATGATAAAATGTTCAGATGAGATTTTCCATATGAATGTTTGTACAAGAAAAACCTACCAGTGTATGACCAGCTTCACAGTGACATTAAAAAAAAAAAGAAGATTCTATTAGGTTGGGGCAAGTCCAGACCCCCCAGTGTTTTATTTGAGTTTTTGTCTCCTTCTGAAGCTTCTCCTCACTTCCTGCCTCAGGGAGAATGTTGACAACAGGACAAGAAGTGAAGAGAATCTCAACAGGTCTCGGACATCAAAAACAACTCGCAGGGGTTGTAACCTGCCCTACTCTATCCAAAAGTGAACAAATAATACTGTAAGAATCACTTTTATGACAATTATTTTTTGACACCTGTTTGTGGTAATATTTTTCAGGATCAGATCTCCAAGTCTGTGTCACAAAAACGTCAACCTGCTGCTCTAAGAAAATGGAGGACAGATATCAGGTAGCATCCCGTGTAAACATGGAGCAGCTCATCCAGACCGCTAGCGCCAAGCTGAAGTTCCTGATCATTCAAAATGCGGCCATATTCCAAGGTAAGATGACATCTGAAAGCATAACATTACCATTCACTGACAAGCAGTAAGCAAGATGAGTAGAAGTTCAACCAAAGGTTAGGAAATGAGAATGGCTGACACACTAGCCGCTTTGACAAGTGCTATAACTGTCAGCAGTACAATGAGAAATTTGCGTGATGCACCTAAAAATAAGAGAATGGGCCATTTGGCTACAACCTTTGCCTAACCTCATCAGGCAGTGGCCCAGCAACATTCACCAGTCCAGCAGAGACTAGATAACAAGGACCTGTTAGCGGGTGGTGTAGGTTATTTCACATATGTCCGTAGGTTATCTTTTTTGTATGTCCTTTGGGCTGCCATTGAAGGATACATTTATATCAGCATTTGGCATTTGATCCTGCTGATTTCTTAATCAAGGTTAGTATATGAAATCTTATATGTCTACCCTGCCTCATGTTTCACAACCAGATGGATCACATACTGTTAGTTCTTGGCCACCACCAACATGTTCTGACAAGAATGATGAAGATTCACATGTTGAACCAGTAGCACATGGTGCGGTTGATGCCAGTTTTTTTGTTATCAATTCTGCTGTTGTCAGCATAGCTATAGCTAAAATTAGGGATGTACAGATACTTTTTGAGCTCCAGGACTAGACTAGAGAAAAATTCAAAGTTAGGAGGCAGCTGCCATTGGTAAGGAGAATACGGGGCTCCTGGGATTTGTACATCTCTGTTGTAATGTATGATTTTGTTTTTATAAATATAAATAAAGGGACCACCGATACCATTTTTGCAAGTACAAGTACTGATACATTTTTGTTTATTGTCATGTGACAGTTTTTCTAAAACAATACAGACTTGATGATTTCAGGACAGTGGTGGAGCACCAGAGCCAGGTCCCAGCTGCAACCTCTGCAACCCTGGTAGTTCTCATGAAAATGCCAAGTATCGGCACTGGTACTCAAAAAGTATTGGTGCATCCCAATCTAAAATTCCCGGGCGTTCTAAGCAATTTTACTATGTGTCCCCTTTCATCCACAAACCTTAAAATGTTTGTCATGTTCGCTGCTGATTCCTAGGCCTCATTCACACACAACGCAAGCAAAATGGTATATTTCGTATATTCACATCTATGCGCGTATATGCGTATATGCGTGCACTCTATGCAATCCCAGAAGGCATCACTCGTAATGGAATTTTTAATGTGCTGTACGTGCGTATACGCGTAAACACGCGTATGTGCGTGTAAATACGCAGCAATATTCTGCCCGGACGCATCTCTGTTCCATTCTGTTTTTGCGCATATATACGCTACGCAAATATACGGCTCCATACGTGTTTATTTGCATGTGTTGCATATGGTACAATACGCACGTACGCTCGTATATGCGCGGCAGTGTGAATGAGGCCTTAAGGTAAATTCAGTAACATTTTATGTTTCTAATCCATTCCCACCCCTGATTAATTAATTTATCAGGGTGTGCTTTTGATGTTTTTGCGTGTTTTACATCCCATACCATTCGTTGTGGAAGATGCACTTACTAGAAATGCATGAATGTGCACTGTGCCCTTTAGACTTACCAGCACAGCAGAACATTAAATGATCAAAGATCAATGTTTTATAATGTGCAGGGTGTAATGTATGTACTGCGTTAATAGGGCTGCAGCTAACTGTTATTTTCATAATCGATTAGTTAGCCGATTTATTAACTTCGATTAATCGGATAAAATAAAAAAAATTAATATCGCACAGTAACGGAGGGCTTTTCAGTACCGCGCGTTCCGGTGCAGGCGATCACACTGCGGACGGCAGGTGCATTGGAGATCCATTGAAATGAATGGCACTGCAACGTGCAGTGTGTCAGGCCGAA